ACATGAGTTTTAAAATATCGGCATATCGGATATCGGCCAAAATCCCAATATCGTGCACTCCTACTTGTGGGTCCTTTTTTAAGCGAATGTCGGTGATTTAAAACTTATTTTGAGTGATAAATGCAAATGCAATAAAAATTTGTACTCTCCCGACAATAAAAACGACTTGCCGCGGGCGATCGGGCGATGGTTGCCATGGTCTAGTCAAAGTTTGGGCTGAGAGTTTTTCTAGCGCTCCTGCTGGTAGATAAAGTTCAGTATTTATACATGAGAATATTCCATTAGATCAATGTAGAGAAGGTTTAATCAGATGTTTCTGCTTTCTGCCTGAACCCCGACGTTCTTCAGGGACACAAGGAGGTTCAGTTCAGCCCAACTCTGCCGGGTTTCAGCCAAACACAGACTGTCCTCAATCCCAACACGTCCCAGTAACATCCGCTTTCTGCGGCGCCTCCACTATTCAGCATCCCTGGATTTTAGGAAGGACAGTTCCAGTGCTGATCTCCGTTTAGCCCTTCCTGTTGTCTTGCGTCCAGCCTGTGGGGATGTCTGACATTAATTACGTGTTAACATCCACGCTGCTGTTGTTTTTAAACATCATCTAATGACAAACGCCTCGTGGCGCCGAGCTCCGCTCCTTCGAAGGAGCTCGCCTGCAGCGCTGGATTCCCACACTTAGGATATTCAATCTGACACCCGGCGCGGGGCTGATTTACCCGGAGAGGCTTTCATTGACCCACTAATCTGTTCCTGGAACACCGGGCCGGGTGTGATACCCAGAAGCCACTGGGAGACGCCTCCGTTTGGGTTTCTGGGGAATAGAGGAGAAATTTTCGGCTTGCTGCATGTTTCTCTCGCCTCGTTCAGCCGTCCTGGACAGAAGAAGCTGTTCTCCATCCCTCTCTGGAGGATTTACTGAACTTCTGCTGTTATTTCTGGAATAAAATACTGTCTGAACACTCAGATCAGAGATGTTTCTAAATTTAAAATGAGGGCAGAAAGTTTTAGTTTCCTTAAACATTTAACCTTTGATGTCAAGTTAGAGGATGTTTGATAAAAATAAAGACCAAGCTAGAACAGAAAAAGGTCCAATGATCTTTGACCCACTGGTCTTTCCAGCTTCGCCTCACCTTGATGAAGTCCAGATGTTTCCTTCTGCTCAGGTTTGGACTTTGACTCGACCGTTGCAGCACTTTTCTTCTTTCCTAAGTTTGTTAGAAATGATAAGAATAAAGGCAGCTGGAAAGATAAAAGGTTTGATGGATTCAAGTTTAAGATGTTGAAAAGTTCTGCCTGGTTTCAGTCGTTGCTTCCTAGAGAAACCTGCTAGTTCCTCAAAGATCATACCTTCCTGGACTTGCCTGACATGCAATCTGCTAGAACTGTGCAGTGGGTCATTGTGGCGCTGTTATACGGCTAATGCAATGAAATCCCACCTAGAACCGATCTGCTGAAGCTCTGAGTTTCTGTCAGTTATTGATTTGAGTCTGTAGTTAGGAACAAAGTATTCAATTATTCAGAGGTGTTCCAGGCACCTGCCACCAGGGGGAGTCCACGGACACGCTGGATGAAAATGAGCTTAAATGAAACAAAATTAGTGTGTCTGTAGAGGGGCATGCTTCGGAGGTGCAGCGGTTAGCGTGCTCGACCTGCGTAAGGAGGCCACAGTCCTCAATGCGTCCGACACGGGTTCGAATCCGACTTGTGGTCCTTTGCCTCATGTATCCCCCTCTCTCTCATTCCTGTCAACATACTGTCAAACAAACGAGTCACTAGTGCCGTAAAAATGCAAAAAAAAATAATTAAGTATAGTAAGTTAGCCAACATTTTTTCTTAGTGAGGTAACAAAGTATTTGTATTTTGTTATTTGACGCCTCTGTTCAGGATGACATCAGCTGACCTCTATGATGGAAACTCAGAGATGCTGTCCGTCCGAAGCGGAGCGTTCAGCTGCCTGTAAATCAGGCTGATCTGTAAAACAAGCCCAGGCCATCACCCCTCCTCTACCGTACACCCTGCTGGTTCAGTCCAAACATATTTCAGGTCATTTTTACAGGAAAGGTGGTTTGTTTGGATACGCTGTGATCTGAGCCGATGATGGAGGAGAGGAGGACGAGCGAACCGTTTGACCTCCTTCTATGAAGCGTCTGATTAAATCCAGCCCGACATCCTCATCACTCAGCTGCCGCTTCTAAAACGGTCCCGCTCTCGTGACGCCGCATGGGGACGCCCTCCCACGCCTCGTCTTCTGCTGTCACATCGCATTAAAATGCTGCTTCCTGCTGAAGTGGCCTTCAGCCAAATCCAGAACCATTACGGCTCCACAGGTGGTCCTCTGTCTGCCGGCCCCCGCATCCCACCAAGGATTCTATCAGTGGCAGAAATGACATAAAAGATTAAAGCTGCTTTCCATTGTTTAAAGGGTGCAGATACGTTTTCCCCTGATTGCTGCTATAATTGGAACATCGTTAGACCTTGAAATGACCTCTAGATGCGTCTTTTTCTGGTCAACACGTGCTAAACACACTTTATAAGATTAAACAAAATCTGAGACGTTTTATCTGTTATTCATAGAGAAACCTGAAAATCTAAGAACGAAATGTTGGGAAATCGCCGTAGAAACGGAGCTAACACGGCCTGAACTCGCTGGCACCCGGTCACACGGTCCATATAACCCCCAATCATCAGCTGCTGGCGGGACAGAGCGAATAAAGACAACCCGGTTCTAATTTCTGCCGCCATCTTTGGTGACCATCGATTACTTCACAATATTGCCCCCATTAGACTGAAGGATAAAGTGTTTGGAAGCTGCTATATAAACATCGACATTGGTTTATGATCAAGTTCTGGAAGTAAAGAAGAGAATCATTTAGGGGTAACAACTTGCAGATGTTTCCTGCGTGCTAGCATAACCTGGTCCTCCAGTATAAATAATAATGCCGATTTATTAAATACTTTAAAGAGACCATTTCCAGAATTTACTGCTTTAGTACCCACAAGGTTGGGGCCCCTCTGAACTAAGAACACATCAAACAGCCCCATTCTCCAGATGTAGAAATGTTAATAGAGTAGACATCCATTATCTGTTCTAGGTTGTGTCCCTCTCTTCTTGTCCCTTTTCTTCTTGTTTTCCTCTCTATGTTTTGTACTCAGCTGACTTTTCATGCTGTCTCTAAAGGAATGAAAGATTTTTTCCAAGCACTAAGCTCACTTAGCTGATTGCTCCTTCCTGTGTTTCCAAAAAGGCCAAAGTAAATAACCCAGTCCTTCTTTTCACTGTAGACAAGCCATGATCTGCTTATCTGTTCTCCATTTTTCATTTGGATGAAATAATAGCTGCATGAATCATGACAGCAGACAAGATAGAGGAGAGCAGGAGGCGGGGTTACCAATCTACTCGCTCTGGAGAGCAGAGTTCGCTGCTTTTAGATGTTGTCTCCAAAGTCTCCAGTAGCAGAAAAAAGTCTCTAGATTTGGCGCTAGGAGCTTTTTAGAAATCAAAGTGCTAGAGGGGTCTGAAAAGTGGCTAAATATAGCGACTAAAGCGCTAAGTTGGCAACACTGCTCTTTGCATGGTTTGTTTTCAAATGGTTTGCTGCTGTCTGTTTGGACCTTTCTGAACATGTGCAGCAAATGGACTGATCCAATATGGTGGACACTGAAGGGGGGGGGCTGAGACACACTTAATATTATCAGCGTTCTGATGGCATTTTAATCAAAAACATAATTAATGTGCAGAAATAAGGAATAGTTGTATTAACCATACATGGAAACAGAGTTTTTTTGGGGCCCTAAGCAGCTGCCTAGTATTTATTAAAGGTAAATTCCCCCCCTGCATGTGACAGTGATGCTAAAGCAGGACGTTGTTGTCAGCTTTAACAGCGATGCTGGCGATCAGTGCTTCATATCTGAACCTGATTTTTCAGTAAAGTGTTTAAATCTTGTTCTAAAAGCTCTTTGTTCTGTTTTCCTTCGTCTCTGAGGCTAAAACTGGAGCCGATCACTAATCCTCTTCCTGTCTGCTTCCAGCCTGTGTGGCATCGTTCCGGGCCTCAGCAGCGTCCTTCTTCCTCGGATGAACCCGTTTGTGCTGATTAACCTGGCCGGAGCGCTCTCCCTCTGCGTCACCTACATGCTCATAGAAATCAAGTGAGGACTGGATTCTGGTGGGCGGGGTCTAAAATCCGATGATGATGATGATGATGGTGTCAGCTGTTCTGACGGATGCTCTGTGTTTGTGTTCAGTAACTACAACGCTGTGGACACGGCGTCGGCCGTCGCAATCGCCCTCATGACCTTCGGCACCATGTACCCGATGAGCGTGTACAGCGGCAAAGTGCTGCTGCAGGTCAGAGCGCCGTCGCTGCTCGTGTTTGTGCCTCAGGAGGCTGCAGCCTGATCATTAATGTCCTCCTGTGTCTCCTCCACAGACCACGCCGTCCCACGTCATCGGACAGCTGGACAAGATCCTCAGAGAGGTGAGCTGATTCTCAGAGACCGATCCGCCGTCTCTTAGATTTCTGGGTGTTTCCTAATCAGCTGTTAGCCACTTTATAGCAGGAAACTAAACGGCTAAAGTCGCTTTAAGGGGTTCTAACCTGCTCATCATCTTTTAAGGCTAGGCTTAAAACTTTCCTTTTTGATAAAGCTTCTAGTTAGAGTGGCTCAGGTTATCCTGATCTATCTCTATAGTTCTGCTGCTATAGGCTTAGACTGCTGGAGGACATAGGGACCCCTTTTTCATCATTCTGCTTCATTCTATCTCTATTCTCCCACTCTGCAGAATCTGTTAGTTCAATCTCTAACGTTCTGCTCTCTCTGCTTTTTCTCATAGTAGCTTCATCTGGTCTGTTCCTGTTTGGCTGTGACTCCATCCTGGAGAGAAATATCAGCTGTGCTGCTGCCATCAACACCTTTGTTTCTAGATGTTGGAGCTTGGCCTGTTTTCCAGTGTAGTCCTGTTTCTTTTACAGTTGCCTTTTGTATCTATGCTTCTTTTTCTATGTCTGCTTCTGTCTCCTTGAACCCCAGTGGGCCTCAGCAGATGGCCGCTCACACTGAGCCTGGTTCTGCTGGAGGTTTCTTCCTGTTCAAAGGGAGTTTTTCCTCTCCACTGTCGCTACAAGCATGCTTAGTGTGAGGGATTGCTGAAGAGTCAATGAGTCGATGCAATCAGCTGGTTTTCCTTAGATAGAAAACTTTGAATCAATCTGACTGGATGATCTGGTGAACTGGAAAGTGACCTGAGATGACATGTGTTGTGAAATGTCGCTATAGAAATACACTGAATAGCAGTCCTGCTAACAGACACGCTGTCCTGCTGTCAGGCTCATCTGAACGCGTTCGGTTTATACCAAGCTGGGATGACTTTATTTAAGGTGTTAAAGTTTTGGATTCCTGCTGACTGTTGGGTTCTGTTTGTGTCCATCAGGTTTCCACTCTGGACGGGGTTCTGGAGGTCCGAAACGAGCACTTCTGGACCCTCGGTTTTGGATCTTTGGTGAGGATCTGAACGCTGCTTTTCCTTCCCAGTAGTTTTCTGTGCTTGGTCATTCTGGATCAGAGCAGGAATCTGCTGATCCAGGCGAGATGAGGGAGCGGGTCACTCATGCGGGGGGTCACTCATGCGGGGGTTCCCTCTGCGGTGCGGAGACGCTAACAGAGTTCAGAGGTCGTGATCCAGACGCAGCCAAAGGTCTGATTACTCTGGAGGAGCTTTTCTCTACATCAGGGGTTTAAACTTCCTGCTAATCAGCTGAGCTGAGACAGAGTTAGACTCTTAATTTGAAGAGTTCCAGTGAGCATTTCCTCTGGAATTAAAATTAGTTTGATTTCATCAGGGTTTCCACTGGTAATTAAAATAAAAAGTCTTTAAATTAATATTTTTTAAATGAGGTGACGTAGTTTTTAGACGTACAGCGTGAGCAGGTAGATAGCATCAGAGCGTTGGTCATGGTCAACATGGTGAGCTGGGAACTCGCACTGTACGATGAAACCTCTGGATCAGAGTGATTCTGTTTATCTTTTATTTTATTTTATTTTTTTTGTCTGGTTTTCCTTTTTTAACATTTCTGAAAATAAATAAAAAAGTTTTTTTTTTACTTTATTTTGAAATCTAAAATTAGAAATAAGTGTAGAAATAATTAAATGAAATCTTGCCGTCTTCTGCTTCTTTGAACTCTAAAACTTAGTCTTTAAATAAAAGGTTAAAAACAGGAAATAAATGTAAAAAATATTCATCTTAGCAGAAATTGTTAAAGATTGACGCATTTGAAGCTTTATAAGATAAGTTGTATAAAATAAAAATAGGTTTTTCTCTATTTCTTTTTTAAATGATTGTGTTTTCTTACTAAGTTTGGTTTTGTTTCGTTTTTTTAGTATTTAATTATTTTATAAAAACTTAACTCTGCTCTTTTTTGCTGGTTTATTTTACAATAAAACAGAAAGTTAGAAACTGTTGATTGACTGGTTGCTATGGTGATTATTGGTCCAGATCGCGTCTCCTTTGTGCTCAGTGAGAGAAACATAGATGTTGTTTTCTAGACCTGCAGAAATATGATGGAGGTTAATGTTCTGTGATTGGACAGATGATTGTCTGTCCTAAACAGGAAGGAGATAAAAAACCACCTCTATATAAACGAGATGAAAGCTAAATAAATATTAAATCATAGATATCAGTGGTGGGCAGTCAGGACCTTCCTGCTAACCTAAACTTTTATTTTCTACTTTCCAACTGTATTAATTTATTCCAAACAATCCGTTCTAATAATTTTGCAGCGTTTCTCTTGGCTGAGCTGCTTCCATTACATTTATCTGGTTGCTATATTTTCTGTCCAATCAGATTTCAGGCTCAGTCTGTTGCCATGACGATCAAATCTGCCCAGCGCCTCCAGAATCAGCAGTAATGAATGATATTACCTTAACAATATTAATGAGGGACGTTTTATCAGCCAATCAGATCTCAGGTTTGCCCAGAGGGCCAGCTAGAGGGCGGGCCTTATGTCGGGCGTTTTCTGTCCTCTGATTGGTCGGTTAGAGCTAAATGTTTACAGCCAAGTTAAGCTAGCTACAACCTTTGTTCAAAGTGTTTCTGATCTCAATTGGCTGAAACTAAATGGAGACACTAAGACCTCCTGCTCAAAGACACAAGGATGGATTCAGTTTATAAATAATCAGCTTCTCTGGTGAATGTAAAACATTTTGTTTTCATGCTTTATGCTCTATTTTATCTGGTAATTAGATGCATATTGAATGTACATGTGGTTACTATTAGTGGTTCTGTTATTAAAGTGCAAACAAGTCCACGTCTGGCACCATATGAACTGTCCGCCGCTCATAGTTTGAGCTTCAGTGAGCAGCCATTGTTAAAAAAAGCAATAAAATGAGTTGATTCAGGTAAAATTTCAGCTGTTTGAACTTTAAATGATGCAGAAATCTTTCCTGATCTGTTTATTGTTAATGTTTTAATGTTTTAACAGCTTCATAAGGCAAACCGAAATAAGAAAGTAGAGATAAAGGATCCAGAACAGAGCTGCTGTAGGTCAGAGTGGACGCCATCTTTGCTCCCTCCTGTCCTCTGAGGCGCAGTGCCTCTCTCTGCCTGCAGGTGGCGCAGCCTGCCATGTTTACCTTTGTTGATGCTGTTGTTATCGTTTTCCTGAGCTATCGATGCCCCAGTAGTGCTTGTTGATGTCATGTGTGGATGTTTCTGCTCGCTGTTGGCCCAGCGCTAACGGAGCAGCTGTCCAAACCGATTTGACCCCCCTGACTGCACCCGAGCCCCCGGGGCCCCGCTGGCTCTGTGTGTGTTTGTGAGTGTGACCCTGTCCTTTCGCCGCCTCAGTGTTGCCATGAGGAGAGAGAAGTGGGAACAAAGACGAGCGTTTAGTGAGTTTAAGGTCACATCCTGACGTTTAAGGTCTCATTTTTTCCTGCTTCCGCCTTAATATTTGTGTTTTCTAACGCTAACAGGCGTCTGTGTGAATATTTGTTTCTCTCCCCTCTGTGCTCCAGGCTGGCTCCGCCCACGTCCGCATCCGCAGAGACGCCAACGAGCAGCTGGTTCTGGCCCACGTCACCAACCGGCTCCTGCCGCTCGTCTCCACGCTGACCGTTCAGATCTTTAAGGACGACTGGACCCGGCCGCTGCTGAGCGGCGTGCTCTCCTCGCCGGCCGTCACGCCTCCCACCGAGGCCTACGCCTCCTCTTTCCCCTCTGCTCCAGGAGGAGGAGACTTCGACCCGCTGACCTCCACGCCCTCCAAACCCAGCAGCCCGCCTCCAGAGTTCTCCTTCGACACGCCGGGCCGGAACGTGCAGGCGCTGGTTCTCCCGGCGCCGTACGGAGGGATGGGGCTCGCCTACGGGGCGCCGCCGTACGCGGGCCTCCTCGGCCAGGGCCTGCCACGGCCCCGGGAGGGGCAGGGGCTGGGGCCCAGATTTGGACTCCCCTCATCTCAGAGCTACAGGACTGCCTTTTTAGGCTCAACAGCGCCGCTCCGGTTTGGAACCAGCAACCCCGTCCACCCTCAGTCCCAGTACAGACATTACCACCCCTGAGTGAGAACAAACGGCTGAATCTTTACGGTAGACGGTCGGTGGCCATAAAAACCAGCCCATATTTATTCAGAGGAAACGGGGCCAAGAACATTTAGCGTGATATTAGCTTTATTTGGGAACATGCTAACGGGAAGGACTGGGAGCTCTGGTTGTACGACAGAGAAACCAAACTGGGTTTGACTGTAACGTTGGAAACATTGATGAAAAACGCTGCAGTGAAAATAAAACCTTTTTGTTTTGAATGAAGTGATGAAGACCTCCCATGGTGCCGCTGCCTGATGAGGAGGAATAACGGTCGACTGAAATAAAAAAGGAAAATGTTCCATTAAAGGAGCCTTTAATATCCAGTAAATGCCTCACGCTGCGTTCAAAGGCTCTCAGATTAAATCACCTCGCCTTATTATGTCTGATTTCTGGGTTCGACACCTTTGTTAGTAGATTTAATACATTTTCCATATTTATCATTTTAAGATCACATAAACAGAGTTATGATGTGGTTTATGTGTGCAGGAAGTAAACAAGGACGTAATGGAGCCAAACAGGAAAGCAGCTCCTAACAGACGTCTGGAAAAAAGAAAGATCCAAAGTCCAGATCTGGTTTGAGTCGCTGTCACAATATGAACGCTGAAGGTTATTGAAGCAGGAGGTAAAGCTTCATTAGCTAAACTAAAGGATGAAGGAATAATGGAGAAATGATTTAAAGATGAACACCTGATGTGAAAAACTATAATTTAACATTAAAATCTATCTAAACTGTGTTTACATAGAAATAAATAGCAAAAAAAGAACAGTTTGGACTTTAGCAGAAATGCACCCACAGAATTGATGGTTCCCCTCATTTAAAGTCGTAGGGAAGCGGCCGTTCCAACCGTTGCATTTCCCAATTCTCCCAGTGGTGCCCGACTTTACACCAGTGAATAAAGTGAATGTGATTGGTCGATTATCAAGGGGGCGGGATTGTTGTGGCATAAGATTCACAAGCTAGTTTGGTTATGGCCAGTTTGTGGGAAGCATCTTGCTAACCAGTTAGCATCTTAGCGCTAGCAGGTTCCCAATGGGAAATTCCATTGGGACCAAGTAGCACCAAATTGGTGACTTAGAAACGACGCTGTCAAGGAACGCTATGGACAGCGGAAACATGCAAGAGGAGGAGAGTTTAGTGCCGGAGGTCGTGGATGAGTCTCCTCCATCTCCTTTTGATGGAGCTCACAGATTATTGGGTCAAAAGTTCTCTTTTCTGTTGCTGTTGTTCAATAAAAGTACGTTTTCAGATCATTTAAGGCAAGAATATTATACTTTTAAACATCTTTATATGGCCCATCTACTGATTTAATGTGTAATTTTAAATAAAATGTTCTAAAGTTGAGAGGACCATGGCAACCAGCAGAGCTCCAAGGCTATGGTCATACCTGGCGAGGACATGAGTCCGTTCTCGCGTTCTAGTGACTTTAGAAATGGCCAACAATTCGCTCTCCCACTATCCACCTGTAACGGTCACCACTGCTCTGCAAAGATACTGGTTTCAACCGTTGCGTATATTAGCTGCGACATATGAATCAAGATGCTATGACCGAAAAAAATTTGATTGACAGATGACCGTTGATATATGATTGGCCGAATTTAGGTGTTCAGGCTGACGTAGAACTAACTGGCCTGCAGAAGATAACGGAGAAACAATTTTTTTCCCCTAAATTTTGGGATAATAAAGAGTAAATTTATATACATGTTTAAGCCAGAATGATTTGACATAAATATGATTTCCCTACGACTTTAAAGAAAAAATCCCTCAATGTTCACAGAAATTAGTGAAAACTGATAAAATTGAAAATTGTATGAAAATGGAAAATGAACTCCTGAATCAGTCCTGGACTAAAACTGATGGTTGATTCCTGTTCCTGTCAGTCAGCCCTCTGCTCCTCAGGCTGCCTTTTCTGTTCAGCTCCTTCCAGAGACGCTCAGTAGGATGGAGGTCAGGGCTCCTAGGGGCCCCTTCAGAACGGTTTCTAGTTCTGTGTTTTGGCTCCTGATCCTGTGGAAGAACCCTGACCTGCTGCCACCAAGCTTTCTGACACCGCAGCACGTTTCTCGCTACCATCCGGTCTGGTTCCATCAATGGTTCTGTCGGGGTTTAGTTGTGGTTTAGGACCCAAACAGTAAACAAAGGCAGGAATGCAAAAAATCCAATTAATAATCAAAAGCAAACCAGAACTATGGAGACATCCAAACAAACACGAGGAGACGAGGTAGGTGGACGACAGCAAAGACAAGGAACCAACAAAGAGGGAGAGTATATATAGCAGACAGAGACAAAGGCAGGGCTAACGAGCTGACGAGGAGCAGGTGTGAGAGGAGACAACGAGGAAGCTAAGGGGAAAGGAACACACACAAGAGGGCAACAGAGAAACATGAGAACTAACATAAATCTAGAAATAAAAACAAAAAAGGAATTAAACCAATAAAACTAGGAAGCATAGAGCAAAGTAAAGCACAATAGAAACAAAACCATGACAGGTTCCTCTTCGCTCGTCTCCCATTAAGTCCACTTTGACTCCATGAATGATGCTGTGATCCGACTCTGATCTTCCTTCAGATCCAAGTTCTCCTTTAAATGAGGAAGACCAGCTGAATTAGATCTGATACTTTAAGTGAAATACTTGGTTTAATTTGTTAAAAAATATTCTTAAACACATTAAAGCAGCTTCTTTATCATCGTAATGATCCACTTTTTATTTTCAACCTCTGGGATATTAATATGAAATAGATTAAACAACTGGGCGGGGATTGATGTTATATCTGATCTTTTCTGATACATGAAGATCTATAGGCTCCGGTTGGCTGAGCTTTTGGTTGGACCCAATGAAGGTCAGATCAAAGGGAGACTATCCGACTTCGCTTAAGGTTGAAGTTGACTTTATTTAATTCAGAAGGAGCTGAATGTCCACCAGGGGGCCCCGGTGAGTTCAGGGTGTGACCGAAGAGTCGGACCATCATCCCAGACTCAGTCAGCACTTTAATTTATCTGCTCTGTTTTTTATCTGGTGACTAATCCTTCCCTGAATATCTGGGAATTAAGATCCCTGTATTTTCTCTGGAATTTCATTGAAGGCTGCTTCTTGGAAAACACACATGCAGGATGCTATTAAAAAATATTATTATCCTTTAACACATAGGAAGAAATGCTATGTGGACATTAAAAATGTAAATATGATCATTTTTTTGAAGACTGTTGGAAGGTTTCTGAGCAGATACTGACTGTTGGGAAACATCAACATCAGAGCCTCCAAAAAATCCAGTTAAATGTTAATTTATCCAGT